TCTCTCTCTCTCTCTCTCTCTCTCTCTCTCTCTCTCTCTCTCTCTCTCTCTTTCTCTCTCTACCATTCTGCAGCCTTTCTACTGCTACTCCTTGGCTCCTCCGTACTGCTGTCTTTCTGCCACACCCCTGATCTTCTGGTAGGAAAGATCTACACCTAGCCTTCTCGGACAAGGGCAAAAAATCTCGGAGGGCCCGTGTGCAAGTTGCGCACGTTAAAGATCCCTTGGTGGTCTAAAATCGATAAGAGTAGGCTTCGGCCGCCACGCGGGAAAAATTCCCTACCAACTGAATATATTACGTGTGTCCCGCGCGCTCATATGACCTTATGCAGTTGCGAGCGCCGTAAAACACTTTAAGAAAACAATCTCTCTACCACTTCTGGCCTTAATGTGTTCTCCGCACCTTTCAACGTTGTGACATGATTGTACGCACTTTGGTTTTTACAGCTAGTGTAGATTTAGCCATTTATATTTTGAATGTTCCTGATGAAGCCTGTTGAGGGTGAAAAGTTGCACTTGTCATTAAATATTTTGGAAATACTTCCAGGTCTTAACCGTTTTACTATCTGCTGTACACAATGATGATGATGATTGATGGATGATACGTTCTTGCTCTTAATTGCAAGGTGTTTCCCTAGGTTGTCGAAGGAACATAAAGCGCGTTCTCATTGAGTTCATCGTCTACTGTCGTATCCAATGTCCGCCCCCCCCCCTCCTTTTCACACGCTCTTCTGGGCCCCTGACTTTCTGCTGCCTTTCTACTGCTACTCTCTTTGTTCCTTCGTATTGCTGTCTTTCAGCCACATGCCTGATCTTAGGGTACGTAAGATCAAACACGTAGCCGGATAAGGGCGAAAATATCTCTTAGGTCCAGTGTACAATCTATGCGCGTTTAAGATCTCTTGGTGGTCCTTAAATCGGTTAGAGTAGACATCGGCCGCCATCAGGGCTAAATTCTGAATTTATTTCTACTGAAAATGCTTAATATGTCCCGCGCTTATGCGACCTCAAGCAGTTGCAAACGCCGCAAAACACTTGCAATTTAAAAAATGACACAGCTACCTCAGGTTACACAGTTTTCTTGGACATTTTTTGCCGTTTTGAGCTACTGAGACAATGAGATAAAAAAAAAATCAAATGCTCTATCTGTTCTATTCAGATCGTAAGATAATTCGGAGTCGCTATCAAGGTACTCAAATAATTTCATTCGAAAAGGCTTGACATGGTGCGAAATTCAATCTTTTCTTAACATCAAATCTCTACTAACTAGGTAGTGGGCACATACAAATTTGTAATTCTGAGGTAACGATTGATTTGATGATCTCATCTCCTCCTGTCTCCAGGTGTCTGCCAGCGAAGACCCAGACTCCGTCCAATCCGCGTTCACCACGCTGTGTCGGACGGTCCGAGCGGTCAACAAGAAGCGGGAAAAACTCTCCTGGACACTCCAGAGACCCGCCGTGGCGGCAAAGTTACAGATCCGACAGTCTCTGCGGAACCTGGCAGAGAAAAAGTGGCGGTCTCGAACCTCAACTTTTTGAGTGCTAGCCGCCGTGGACAGTTAGGCAATGTTATGGAACTGTTGTGGAAAATCGCTACTTTAGAATTTCAAAGTTTTATTTCTTCAATATCTAGTTTTTAGAAAGTTGACGTCAAAATTTTAGTTTCGCATGTCAAGCTTTTTCGAAAGTAAATCAATGAGTACCTTGATAACGACTCCGAATAATCTTACAATTTTGATAGAGCTGAAAGAAACTTGGTTTCTGATCTCAAGGTTTGATGAGTCAAGTGACTCAAAACGGCCAAAATTGTCAGATAAAACTTTGTAATTCTGAAGTATGGAGGTGTTTTCACAAAGGGTTATGGCTGTGGTGTTGTGAGCCGTGGGTGTTTTGATGAAGGTGTTTATCAATGGCAGAAATGATGAGTTGTTTTGTGTATACATATAATATTACCTTTCCACTTTTTACATGTAATATTTGAAATTATGTTATATTTGATAAAGTCTTTGCTGAAAATCTTCTTTTTGCGGTATGAAAGAAGATGCGTTGTTGAGCTATGGGGTAACGAAAATTATCGCGATTCAGGTAAAGAGAGAGAGAGAGAGAGAGAGAGAGAGAGAGAGAGAGAAGGGTGGGGGGTGGAGGGGGAGGAGGAGCGGGAGAAGAGCATTAAAGAATGGGTGAACGAAGGAATATGGGAAGAAGGGAACAGAGAGAAGAACAACAGCAAGAACAAGACCAAAAACATGATGAAAAAGAAAATATAGTCAGGGGGGGGTGAAACACAGAAAGGGGGGAGAGAGGAGAGAGCAAGAGAGAGAGAGAGAGAGAGAGAGAGAGAGAGAGAGAGAGAGAGAGAGAGAACGAAAAAAGAGAGACAAATTTATACATGCGAGCGTAAGCACGTGAGGCAGTGAGTTCATGTGAGGGCTTGATGTTTTCAATTGGCTTGCAATTTTCCTTTCATCTGCCTAATAGTAGCCCTTCGTCTTCGTGGGTACACAGCTACGCACTCGCATCAAATGAGCAATGCGTTATACGCAGAAGAAATTTCCTGACTACGTTATGTCTGAGATCGCTGTTCAGAATTTGACATGGGGTATTATTATCCTTCTTTGAAATATTTAGTCGGAGGAGATATCATGATATTAAGAGGGTGTGCGGAAAGCTGAAATTTTGTCATTCCAGAGTGGTCTTTTACTGAACAGCGCAGGCAAAAGATTTATCTCTAATGGAAAGAAAAGAAGGGTCGAGTGTTTGGTTGTATGTCCGCCAAGTCAGTTTGCTCAGTGTTGATACTTGTGTGTTTTCTTCTTTTTTCTTGATTTTTCGAGTTTAATTGTTTGACTTTGGCTTTTTGTGATTTTTTTTAAAGCTACAAACAGGGAGAATTGTTTCAACTTCCCTTTGATATTAGATTTTCTTAAACCCTTCTAACAACGAAGGCATGAGTAAGCCAAATATCCCAAAATTTATCGCAACTGCCCTCGATACCTATTGAAATAATCAAATACATTGAGACGAAATGTACGCCAATCCTGAAAATAAAATTATTCCAGAGGATGTAGGCTGTTGCACTGCAAATAAAGCTTAAATTACAAGAGTTCAACTCCTAAAAGTTCTTTGGGCATAGGAAGTGGCGACTTGATCGTTTGAAGGACCCCAGGGGCATAAGTCAGCTGTTCAACAGTATACCCGAACATGGAGGGGGTTTGTTTCTTTTTGCTGCGTTTGTGTGTGTGTATGTGTGTGTGTGTGTGTGTGTGTGTGTGTGTGTGTGTGTGTGTGTCTGTGTGTGTGTGTGTGTGTGTTTGTTTTTGCATCTGTGGGTTTGAGTCTTTGTTTGTTTGTTTATTCTTTTCGGGGTAGGAGCTGTTTTTTTTTCCAAATATTGTGCTCAATTGAAGATCCATCTCAAGACTCAAATAGGTTCTGTATTCCTTGCAGTGTTGAATGACGATCCTGTATTGGTTTTCACAGCTTGTGCGTCTATGTGTATAAGATGTCCTTGCGTT